CAGTAATGCAATTACAGAGTACAGGTGCAATTCAGTCACTCAGTCATTCAGTCAGTAATGCAATCACAGACTACAGGTGAGTTGTAAGTCAGTCAGTCAGTCAGTCAGTCATGTAATCACAAAGTCAGTCAGTCAGTCATTAAGTCAGTAATGTAATCACAGAGTAAGTCAGTCAGTCAGTCAGCCAATCAGTAATGTAATCACAAAGTAAGTCAGGTCAGTCAGTTGCTCAGTCATGTGATGACACAGTTAGTCAATCAGACTTCATTAACTTTGAAATACCAGCAAAAATGAATTATCTTAGCAGGATGAGGATCCCTTAACATAGGAAACTGTGAGAAAATCCTTAACTCCTAAACTCTGTCTAACAATTCCCTCTGTCCTTACCTTACATTTCCTTGTGATAAAAAAAGGGACAGAAGGAAAGTGGTGATGTCTTGCTACAAAATCCTTAACCCTTTAACTCCCATGGGTGACCAAGACAGAATCTCTCCCTACAATATCAACACAATATCAACCAGATAGGTGATGAGAACAAAGGAAAATATCCGTTTGAAGATAATAAGTTGAGCCAATACTAAATTCTCTGAACTAACATCATAACAATTGTATGGTTGACAGTAAGGAGAATTACAAATTTGATCTCGGAGTTCAAGGGTTAAACTGATTAACTTGTCTTTTCTTATCACCTTATTTCAGGATAATGTCTTGAGATTGCTTAGAGAAGTATACATATCACTTGGGCAAGCTTAAGGGTGAAAGGGTCCGCAGTCTGAACATTGGTCATTTAATCAGTTACGGCAAACATGTTTTACGCTAACAAAATGAGAAGAAGATACAACTATTGTATATCTATTTAACCCTTTGCATCCTAATATTAACAATATATTCTCCGTATTCCACATTCTCATTTCTCACGAAGTGATACTGTAAGCGAGAAAATCTTTCTCCTTTAAAGGTATGCTGTGTAGATCCTGCACGTGTCCCGAATCCAGCGAAAAAACAGAGTGAATACTAAGTATCTCAAAATTAGCGTGAAGTAATCAAAATACTTTAGTCGCTTCAAATACTTCAAACAAGGAACAAACCTCTGCAAAATGCCATAGAACAAGAATTTTGAGAGTCTCCTTCTCTTCTTCTTTGGCAACATGGCCGGTGATCGTATCTTAACACTCGAAAAGACTGCTGGGAGTCCTGTATCTTATTACTCCCAATCGCGCCATCTTGAATTGAAACGATGGGGAGAACCCTGGGACGAGAAGTCAAGCTAATCGTTGGGAACCAGTTAATAACTTTCACCTAAGGTGGGTGGGGAAGGGGGGTTCGAAGGATCTTGGTGAGCATCACATGGTTTTCAAGGGAACGGAAGGGGCATCAGTCGTCGCTAACAGAGTATAAAAAGAGAAAATACAGAGCATTGAATGCCAATGAGGGGGATCATTCGAATACAATAGAGGGACTTGCCCATAAAATACTGCGTCCAAGTTTAAGAAACAACCTATGGACAAATTTTACTTTGACTAATAGTCTGAACCGATCATCTTTAAAAGACTTAAATTGATACCTAAAACAGAAAAACAAGCGGATAAACAGACATGGCAACCGAAGAAAAAACTGGTGTGCAACATAATGACGTAAAAATCGAAAGATGAAGAACACTGTAAAGAATAATAAGGTTAAATAACAGAGAAAATTACCAGAGCACAAGATGCAAACGCAATAATCAAATAACAAGCAAAAATGAAATTGTGCGTGTTGCAACCTTAAGAATCAGACGACAGAAAAAAATATAGAGTAAGTAAGATGCAAACGTCTTAATCGAATAATCATTAAAAAAAACTTCAATTGCGCAGAAAACTAACGTGGCAATAAGGTAAAGGGAAAACTACATGTGTACTACATAATAATGCAAAATTCTAGTCGCAAAAATACCAACAAACGAGAAATTAATACAACAAACAATTGACAAAGGAAACTACAAGTGTGCGAGATAGAAACGCAACTATGAAGTGACATAGAGGAGTAAAGGTGACCAAGTTAAGAATTTAGCACTCGAATGACAAACAAAATTATCATTGCACAAAAACTAACGCAACAATCAAATGAGACAGAAAAAAACCACAACTGCGCTAGATACTAATGCAACAATTACATGACACAAAATACTACAAGTGCCCGAGATACTAATGCAACAATGAAATGACAGAGAAAACCACAAGTGCGCGATATACTAACACAACAATCAAATGAAAGAGGAAACTACAAGTGAACGAGATACTAGAACAACAATCAATTGACAGACCAAACAGTGCGCAAGATATTAACGCAACAATCTAGCGACAGAGGAAACTACAAGTAAAGAGATACTAACTCAACAACCAAATGACACAGAAAACTACCAGTGAACGAAGTAATAACGTAAAGATCAAATGACAGAGAAAACTACAAGTGCGCGAGATACTAACGCAACAATAGGTGACACATAAAACCACAATCGCGAGATACTAACGTAACAATTGCATGACACAGAAAGCCACAAGTGCGCGAGATACTAACGCAATAATAAATTATAACGTAGCGCGCGTGCTTGCCCTATATAATTCCTATTGAGCCGTTATGAACAAAATCTTTATTTGCGCACGCTCGTGCGTAAATAAGATGACGTGAGCAATGCAATGTTCGCAGCCAACCTGAGTCTTCTGCTGCAGCCATAACTGTTCGTCAAAATAATAGTGTGGTGGTTGCCCAGGAGAAAACTGCAAGTTTCCTGCAGCCTGTCTTCTCCAGTTGCACCTTGCACGGCAGCGTAAACGTTATTTTGAACCATCAAAACCCTTGATAACTTCGGGTCTTTGACTTTTAAAACATTTTTTAGTGTCACTTGAGTTCATTTGGCTTTGATTTTCTCCATTTTACCCGTAGATTTTGTGCTTTTCATTCACTGTTATCGGTTAACTGGCTCAAATGTTCTCGCTCAAACCAAAGTATAAAATGTTGCGTGTTTTTGACCAGCCAATAGGGACGTTTGTTTACTTTTTTTGTGCGTTGTGAGAATTTTGCTCTCTATCACAATAAAAGGCTTCTTCGCGCGGATCCTTATTGTCGCTCTGTTATAAAAGAATTTGCTCATACTTTTAGCTGTGCGTATATCGAGTTATGGATGCACTTGGGAAGTTTGGAGAGCACTAAAAAGCTAGAGTTGCTCTCGGCTGCGCCTCGAGCTACTCTTACGCATTTTTCGCGCTCTCCAAACTTCCCGCGTGCATCCATAACTCGATATACGCACGCTAAGCATGAACAAATTCTTAAGTGACCCATAAAGCCACAAGTGCGCGAGATACTAACGCAACAATCAAGTAACACAGAAAACTACTAGTGCGCGAGATACAGACGCAACAATAAGTGATATATAAAACCACAAGCGCGAGGTACTAACGTAACAATTACATGACACAGAAAACTACAAGTGCGTGAGATACTAACGCAATAATAAAGTGACATATTAGACCACAAGTGCGCGAGATATTATTAACTCAACAGTAAGTGACACGTAAAACCACAAGAGATACTAACGTAAGAATCAGTGACACAGAAAGCTACTACGCGAGATACTAACGTAACAATCAAGTGGCACAGAAACCACAAATGCGTGAGGTACTAACGCAATAATCAAGTGGCACAGAAACCTCAAGTGCGTAAGACACTTACACAATCATCAAGTGACACAGAAAACCACAAGTGCTTGAGATACCAACGCAATAATCAAATGACACAGAAAACTACAAGTGCGTGAGATAGCAACGCAATAATCAAATGACAGAGAAACCCACACGTGCACGAGATACAAACAAAACAAGTACATGACACTTGAAACTACAAGTGCACGAGATATAAATCCAAAAATCAAATAACAAACAAAACTACAAGTGAGGGAGATCGTAATGTAACAATATCAAAGAGAGAAATGACCATCGTCGCGGGATACTAACGTAACAAACAAATGAAAAAGAAAATTGGAAGAGCTCCAAAAACCTTGGTAATTATCAAATGACGTAGGAAACTAGTGGTGCGTAAGGTGCTACTGTAGCAATCGCGTGGTAGGAATACAACAATGCTCATGATACTGATGTATCAATGTAACGACAGAGAAAACTACAGGTGCGCAAGTTGGCCAGCTGCGAAATGTATATAGCCAGAAAAGAGGATTACTACTTATATCTTGAGAGCTGAAGTGGGTTTGTCTTACCTTCGACTTTACTCATTCTTCTTTAGGCCTCTTCCTCTCAGTTTGCGAGGATGATGAATGACTTCCACCACCTATTTTATGATTGTTTCCCGTAAATCACAAGTGCGAATCTATTCAATTCAAACACGTTCGCAAGTTGATGGACAATCGTGCATGTCTTCGTGAATTCACGGTGGTTCATAAAGTGGGCAAACAAAAGGACACGGTGGACAACTGAATACGTAAGTAAATATCAAGCAGACCACAGAGAACAATAGAAAACACGTCACAGAATATGCCAGAGCGTACATCACTAAGCATAGAATGAAACACACAATGGAGAGAATAAATTACACAACAATGGCCGTTTTATGCTAGAGACGTTAAAGTTGTCTAAGACGTTAAAGTCGTCTCGAGACGACTTTAACGTCTTAGACAACTTTAACGTCTCTAACATAAAAACGGCCAATGTAAGCTATCGTTAACGGATAACGAAGGAAATATGTAACGGAAGACAAAAATGAACACAGAAACGAAACACGTCAGTGAACGCAAAACGAAACAAGTAAAAGAAAGCAAAACGATCAGCCGAGTAAATTAAATGCGTGACGTGACCATTTGTAAGTGAAAAAAATCACACGTTTTTAAAAGTGTTTTCTAAAGATAACTTATAGGTGAAAGTACAACTTAAAACCAAAGTTCTGATTGTTTCCTTTGTTTAAACAATTTATTTCAACTTATTTTTTTACACTAAAGATGGACGAAAGGTACTTTCGCGCATCACATTGCATATCCAAATCTCGCGCTTTATGAGGCTTTAAACAACTTGTACATCTATAAATAAATAAGCCTGTAGCTTTAAAATAACTCTGCAATATTTAGTTACGAAACTGAATCTTGATCTGTTCAATAACAGTTTCTTGAGCCATGGTTTTCTTCATGGTTCTTGAGTCTACTCTGTTTTTCAAGAACAGTAAATAAAAAACCGCAAGGGTGTGATTCACACATATCCCTCATCTAAACACCGTACGGTATCATTCAGGTGATCAAACCACTATAAGTTTTCATGGAAATAATAAGTAAATTTTCCAATACTGTGTATGTGCAGTCCTTTTATATCCACGTAAGAGATGAAATAAAAGAAAAGAAAAATGAATGCAAGAGATACCCTTGAACAGCGTCGTGAAATTGACTGTCTTGATAACCACAATTTAAAACGCACAATACGACAAGTTGTTCAGAGGATAGTTAGAAGCAAAACCAAAGAAGAAATATAAACTAGGGGGGCTAATCTAAGGGTTCCTAACACTTAAGAAAGTGTCTGAGTGGACGAGTCAAGGCTGAGAACCTTTGCTTGATCATGAACCTGAATTTCTTGTCAGAAACATTACGTACTGCATTAGTTACAATTTCAAGGATTTAAGAACATTCATTCTGATGGCCGCTTCATCAGCGACGCGATTGAGAACTTTATCATCCCGAGCTTCGTCTGTGGCTCCAGACAAATCGATCGACTTGGTAAGTTGCATGATTCGTCTTTGATCTCGTCGTGTCCGCCTGTGTTTTTCTCTTGAGCTTTTCTCTCCCCTGGAATCCAGAAACTTTTCAACAACATTGTCCCAGTCGACAACGGATTGGATTAGACTCCATTCTTGATAAGCATCTTCATCCATGGACTCATCCATGACGCTCAATCGCCGGCGTCTCTGAGTGTCACATACGCCATTGTTGTCGTCCTGTTGCACAGCAATCTCTTGCACTCGGCACCTGCAGCGAGACCTATACAGCATCTTGATGACATGGACCAGCTTCGAGAAGAGATTTATCGGCGTTGGGTTGGAGGTCTCGCGTTCCATGTTTCTGATAAGCCTGGCTCGTCCGAACTTCCACTCCACATCCGACGCGACTTGCAACCGTTGGTAGGTGTCGCTCATCATGGCGATCAGGAGGTTGATTAGGACGATCATTACAAGCACGTTGTAGAGTCCGAACACCACTTTAGACATGTCTTTCGCTCGCACATTATCGTCTGAAAGAAAGTCCTTTTGATTTGTCAATCCAAAGATACCAAAGAAGAGGAGTTCCACGATTTTCAGAAAGGGAACTGCAGGTTTTGCTGAGATCGCACCGCGGTCCGTGTCGTTGGCAGCCTTCAACTCCAATGGCTTAAACACTGCTGCGAGCTGCAACGCGAAGCTGGAGAAGAATATTGTCAGGATGAGCAGAAAACGAAGGACATCGACAACGAGATGACCGATGATTACTCCCCAAGGACCAAATAACCTGTGAATGGACAAGAACTGAAGAAGTTGCAGACCACTTAGCATCAGCGCCGTGCCCAGAAATTGGTCCCGCGCGAACACGATTTCAACTCTCTTTTCACCATCGTAACCAATTGCAATCATTCGAAGTAATTCGCCAAACAGTACCAAGAAGATCACAAGGGTAGGGACCCATCCAAGCCCGCTACGTTCCCGTTCGCTACTAATCTCAGTCAAGAGCATACCAATGATCCACATGAATAGAAGGTATTCGTACCAGTGGGGTAAGAGGTCGCTACCGTCGTGGTTCCACGGCACTACCACCGTCAGACAGAGAATTAAGATGAGATAGAGGTGAGAGATGAGCCGGCAGATGAACTTGATGATGGGGATCTTGCGGTGCCTGTTCTTGAACGGAAGTGAGAGGTATACCCAAATGGGCGGGAACAAGAATGCCATGAGGAACAAAACCATGAATTTCCAGTCCTCCCACTTGAGGTCACCGAACCAGATCTGAGTGACATATTGCTGAACCAAAGGATGCGAAACACACTGTTTCAGCTCGCATTCGATCAGGAAATCGAGGAACGCCACATTTTTACCGTCAATTGAGTTGAGCACTGCTCCAGAATCCTCAGCACATGAGATGCTGATAAGGTCCTTTGCCACGGTTTCGCAGAAACCGCTGGCCAATTCCAGCTCGTTTGCGTGTTCTTTGTTTCTAGTAGTTTCAATGCGGTAGTGACGCGACAGGAACGATGAAATGTGCACAGGGGCTGGTGCACTGAAAAAAAAAAAAAAAAAAAAAAAAGATATCGAGTAAATAATTGGCTTTTACCAGGAGTTCTGTCTGGTGTAACATTTTCGGCTTGTTGATTACTCAACCTGGGTGGCTAGAAGCTGGGTTTTGGCCGGCGAAACTGCTAGAGGAATGGGAATGAGAGTGTTTACGCAGCTTCACCACAGTTGTAGACCTGCAAGCACGCAACCTAGTTATCACTTAATACGGTTTTACATGACGCTTTCGTTGGTTTGTTCGTTCGCGTATACTCGGTTGTTCGTCACCTCGTTTGTTCTTCCCGTTTTAAGTAAGTAATTAAGTAAGTAAGTTAGCAGTATCCTTTATCTAAACAAGACGAGGAAGAAAGCATTACTTGCTTGAGGGGTGCAACTAACTAGTACTTACTTTACCTACAAGTAAAAGTGGATAAAATACATTAAATGAATAATGAAACTTCAAAGTAAATGCGTGGCAATACAAAATGTGCTCATACAGTGCAGGTTGGAAGATCACAAACAGTTTCAATTGAATTTGAACCAGAGGAAAATACCCCCAAGAAGATGTGTATTCAAAACCATTAGTATAAAGTGGACAAAACTTTATTATCAGTTTTCATCGCTTTTCCCTTCAGAAACTGTAACAGTAGACCGTAGTAAGACATACGAGCTGAGAAGACCACGATGCCAGAGATTATCCCGGTTTCCTGAGCATGAAGCGACTAAGAGCTTTAATGCTCCTCCACTGAAACGAGATGTTAGTGTATCAAGGAGCCTTTTTAATTAGCCCCCCATATTAATTCGTCAATTTTCACCGGAGCTCGACCAGGACCTTGGCATAGTACAGCTTTATGTTACTATCACAATCAAGTTTTCTGTATATTTGTTAAAATACTAAGAAGAGCGAGCACTTCATTTTGGATGTAAACGAAGACAACAGTAGTATTTTTAAATTATACATCCATATGTAAAAAAGAAAAAAATTAGAGTGTACTTGGAAATTATTATATTTTTGCTTTCTAGATAAGATAACCACTGACTAAACAAACCTAAAATATAAATCTACCTGAGAGTAAAGGTCATCAAAGATTTGCAATTGGATGAACGAGAACAAACCACAAGGTCCAGCAAAAACTGCAAAACAAACAAACAAACAAAAGATAAAAATCAAGGATCCAGAAATGAACCCTTTCTCTCCCATAAGTGACCAAGACAGAATTTCTCCTTACAATATCAATACAATATCAAGAAGACAAGTGATGAGAATTAAAAAAATATCAATTAGGGGATCATTAGTTGATCCAATACCAAACTCTCTGAACTAACATCATAAGAATTGTATGACAGAAATTACGGAGAATTTCCAATGAGATGCTGGGTGTTAAAGGGTTAAATCACTAATAACTATTCGGAAAAAGTGTTGGTCAATGAAGGAAAAAAACCTGCAATAAATCTTAAAATCAACGTCGCGTGGCTTATGTGATCCACAGGAGTTACTACTCACTCTTAAGCACGTTAAGACTTATCGTTAAAAGTTTAGCGTAAAATTATCAGAACATTCGACAGAAAAAATTTTATTGTTATGGTTGATATGTTCTGTTTGACAAGTTCCTAAAATATATTTTCTAGGTGTACAAAGGGCCTTCTTGGATTTTGGTTGATCCCCCATTATTGGCATTCAATTTTCTACAGACCTCAATTCATACTCAGTTAGTGACGGCTGATCTACCTCAGTTCCCCCTGAAAACCATGTGATCCTTACAAAATCCACCATCCCCTCCCTTCCCTCCCTCCTAGGTGATAAACGATGACTGGTCTCTTACTCACACGTTAGAGCCATCAAATACCTTTTTGTTGCTCAGAAGTCGTTCATGATTTACTCTTTGACTGAGTAGGAAATCCAACACTCCAAGGTGTCTTTCTCTCACTGCCAGACAAATAGGTACATCTTCAGCCTGGAGGAAAATCGACACCAAAATGTTAGATATCGACGCCTCAAACTGTCGACATCGGTCAGCGGTCCATCATAAGTGCAAAAGCACTGTTGTAGTGTCAAAAACTGTATCAAATAAATTTCAAAGGAGAAGGGTCGTGAACACTAGATTGGAAAAAAGTAAGCCCTTATACAGGTCCAAGTGGCCCATGGGGCCGGCGCTTAACTCCGGTTTCATTAGCATGAAGCGGCTAGGAGTATTGCGACTCCCCCCTGGTTGGGATGCTAGTCCATCGCAGGGTTACCCTCAGCATATCTGCTGATACCCATTTGTACACCTGGGTGAAGATAAGCACTGTGAGAGTAAAGTGTCTTGCCTAAGAACACAACACAATGACAACGGCCAGGGCTCGAGCCCGGACCACTCGATCCGGGGTCAAGCGCACTAACCATGAAGCCACCGCGCTTCCACACTAGATTGAAGGCTTTGAATTTTTCATAATGGTTGCAGAAGGAAAACGGAAAAATTTTAACATACAGTTCTTTTTGGTAGATTAAAATTAGAGAAATGAGTGTAAAGCAAAAAGAAAAAAGGTGTGTTCAAAGGAAGAGAAATGACATGGACTGAAGATGACAAATATGATGAACTGAGGCTGGAATGTGCAGTGCAAATGAGCAAATGAGCGTTTTTCGCATTCTACAAGAAACGCTGAGTCCCTCTAAAAGGGATAACATAATTTCTTTACGTCTGACCTTGTTTTCGATCAAAGGCGAAGCTCCATACTCCACCAACACTTTTACCACCGCAATATAACCAGCTTCGGAGGCAATGTGTAGAGCCGTATTACCCATCTAGGAAGAAACAATCACATATCTTTAATACGAGACCTTCTAGCCTGTCCCGTTGGTTGAAAAAAAGAGAACCCAAAAACACGACTTTCGTTAAAGACTGTTTAACAAGAAACTCTGACGATGTTTTTCTTTGGATAAGGAAGGAGTTAAGATCGTGCATTTCCCAAAATAATGATCTATAGTTAGCATACGTTGTCCTGGGCGTCAATATCAGCTCCCTGGCCAATCAGGATCGTCAGCAGCTCCCTGTGGCCATTAGCAGAGGCGAGGTGTAAAGGTGTTCGACCATCATTGTCTGTCAGCTGAAGTAAAGCTGAGGCTTTACTTATCAACGTGCTGGCTACTTCAATGTGACCTTCCATGGATGCTATATGGAGTGCTGTGCGACCCTGCAAAGATGGGAAAGAAGAGAAAAGCGTGTAGCCAGAGGAACCTTGAACCACGTCATTAAAAGCACGGGGCACGTGCTCTGTCGTGTCGCATACTTTTGATACACTGATAATCTTAAGTGAGAACAAATTAACTGTCTCCCTTCTCTCAATGCAATCAAATTTGTCTCGCTGACAAATCGTCCGAACATCACGAGCTTAGGAAAAGAAATAAACGGATTAGAATTGAATGAATACATGAATGAATGAACAAGTATAAAAAATTTTGTCAGAGGGCCTTGCTCACCACGTCTACTTTGGGGTGTGGTTTTGAGGGGAAATCTTAAAGATGTCACCTTGTAAGTCACTCTGAATTCATTTGCGTACTAAGAGTTTTGAACAGAAGAAGGCATTCAACCTACCGCCTTGCCGGTCACAGTGTCCACTCGCACGCCAGGATGGTTGGTAATGGCCCGCACCAGGGTGTTGTCGCCATTTTGAGCGGCAAGATGAAGAGAAGTAAAACCATACTGACATAAAAAACAGTATAACATGCACTGAGAAACTTTATGCTCTCACCAAAAAAGAAAAATTGGAATTTTCTTGAGTAGAGACAGTGGACTTTCTTTGAGGTATGGAAGCCAAGTACTGCCGTACTTTTTAAATTCAATTTTACTTTTGATTAAATGACTGTAAATATATGAAAATCTTAGGTGTGAATTTCGGTTGAAGAAACGAATATGGAAGCGATCCCCGCAGTTATGAACATAACTTAAGTAGTAGTGAAAATAAGGCCTGAAAAAAAATTTTTCTTCAACCGCAGTTCATATACATGATTTTCCTGTATTTGCAGTCATTTATTCACCCCTTCGAGGCTTTATTCGGAACCAACAAAATGACCAGCTCCTAGTTGGCTTTTTAGCACAGTTGGTGGAGTGCTGCACCGGTATGGCAGAGGTCATGGGTCCAAATCCTGTACAGGTCTGAATTTTTTTCAGGCCTTATTTTCACTAATAGTTAAGTAGTGTTCATAATTGCGAGGATCGCTTCCATATTCGTTACTTTTGAATAAGTTTTATACAAAATTGTCAATTCAAAGAAGTAAATAATTAAACGATAACTAAACAAAGTAAAAAAGTGCTCACGTCATCGTCTTCGTCTTCATCATCGGCTTGAACTGGACGCTAAAATAAAAACAAGAGATAATCCGATTTTGAAGAGCTAAGTTGCAACACGGTTAGAAACTCTAACATCCTTTCTTTTTTTGTGCCGAAAAAAAGAGCATATTAAATAGACCTTAAAAGGATTTTTTCACTGGGGTGTCAAGGGAAATCCGGGTTGTATTGGTCCAGAAAACACACGCCATCTTCTCAGCCAATCACTTGCAAATCTAAAACTAATCGCGACTAATGAATACATTTTCCCGCTCTCCAGGCCCACGTGATTACTTTTAGTTCTCATTGGCTTCCTCTGGTATGCCCTTTGTTCTGATTGGTTGTTGTGACTGCTATAGTTTTAGCGCTTAAGGCGCCCGTTTTCTGACTAATGAAAAACATCATACATGAAAAATGTACAAAATGTTTCACCAAACTGAAAATCATCAGACAATTTATCATACAAGGAGACCAAGATCGTTATTTTTCAGGCTCATCAGTCGGTTAGTTTTCACAGAAAAGTTAAAAAATCACACAACGATGAGTAACAATTATTGGTACCTCACCTCACTGACGAGCGTAGCAGAATAAGGGGCCCTAGTGAGAAACTCCTGCACAACCTCTGTCTGACCATATAAGGCAGCAACGTGAATGGCTGTCATTCCATTCTGAAAGAAATTTGACAAATTACATCACTAACCACAACCCACTTGCCGGTTACCACCGCAACATGTCGCGAAGGGGGCCCGTGGAGGGGGGGAATTTTAACATGGAATTGAACATGGTTGAATTCCACAGGAATGTCGTATTTTTTAGCCACTTTTAGGTACCAACTCTTGAAAAAAGGGAAATTCCAGTGACACTTTCAGATGATCACCACCACAAAGAGTACCTGTGAGAACAGACCCATGGGTTGAGGTGTTGCTCGAAAGGGAAAAAAATTAAGACATTTCATAACCTAAACGCAGTCACTCCTAAGATCTTGTTAGAAGTTCTCCTTACTGTATACAATTGTTGCCATACAATTCTTACGATGTCACTTAGGAGAATTTGGTATTGGATCAACTAAAAACCCCCTAATTGATATTTTTCTTTATTCCCATTACTTGCCTGCTTGATATTGTAAGGAAAAATTTTTTTGATTACTCATGGGAGTTTTTAAGGTTAACTTACAAAGAGTCTCCTGTAGGAACATCACAAGAAGAATGGAAAGAAGAATGGAAAGAAACTTTTACAAACCTTAACACTGGTTCGGTTAAGTGGTGTTTTTCCCCATAACATATCAATAACTTTGACTTGACCAAACTTGGCGGCTAAGTGTAGAACACTGTTGCCCTCCTACAAGTATGAATGAAACAAAATATGTATCTTTTACCACAGAGCATCCCAAAGTGCGGTGCACGCAAAGAGACGATCTTCACAGACAAACTGCAATAAGAGACAGCGCAGAAAAGAGGCCTGAAAATTTGGGGCTTCGACGGAATTCTAACCTAGGCCTCCCAGAAACTGGTTGGGCTCTATTACCAACTAATCTACGAAGCAAGGAGGTTAGTTTCTAAAGAAACTGTAATGCTGCGTCGGTTGAGAGTATAACAGGGTAATTTAGTACTATCAACCAAGTTGATAACGTAAATTAGCCACCGTTTCGAGCGTTAGCCCTTCGTCGGAGCAAATGACGAAGGACTAACGCTCGAAACCTCAGGTTTGAAACTACATACTGTGGCCAATTTGCGTCATCAACTCAGTTGATAATGCTAAATTACCCTGAACTATGAAGCCACACGTTAGGAGCTAATCTCAAAGTGCAGTTAGGAACCAGCGAGTTGAATAAAACTCAAGGTGGATGACCACACATCAGATGTTCTCTTATTCAACGCTAGAGGCGACAACGGAAGCGGCTGGAAAATGATGGAGTAAAGGAACTTAACTTTTTCTCTGAAGAGGTAACTAATGTGACCGCTACCCAGAACTTCTCACGCCCGTTTCGCGTTCAACAGAGGAAAATACTACAGTTTGTTGCCTCATTTTGCTTTACATCCTACATTGCTTAACTGATAATGCTTTAAATTTAGTACCTCTCTGCTTAATTTGGTTTTATTTATTATGACGAGAAACTGGCAGTTCCTAACATTGAAAACAGGACAATACATGAGGGTGTTTTTACCGTGTCTTCTTCAGTCGGTGAAGCTCCATTTTGAAGCAAGAATTCCACTATGTCTTTATAGCCTCCGCGAGCAGCTAACAGAAGAGGTTTGCACAAGACGCCCTACAGGACAAGAGATTTTGAGACAAACTGTTTAGCAAGGTAGTTTCTTTGATATACGCGACAAATTAATCAAGGGCCAGAGATTGATAGGAAACCTTGACAGCAGTAGTATGCGAAGAATGGAAGGGGGAATGAAGTGACCTTAATGTCTGATTCAGGGATTATAGTGTATACTGACATTCTGCTTTCGGCATCCCAGTCTTAATAGAATAACCGAGACAATATCTCTGTTCATGTCAGAAATCCTATTTTGCCAAGAACTTTCCATGCTCCCGCCATTTTTCATAGGAATGGCTTTTTGGGTACCCTTTTCTCGTTTACACAGACAACAACAAAATTTAACAAGAATCGATGAGAATATTTACAAACTACATGTTCTCCTGTTCAAGAACTAGATAACTTCAATTAGGCTAGTGTGTTTAAATCTTTCCTTGTTATCCCTAGATCCAGATAATGTGATAGAAGGCTGAAAAAGTTCTGTTCGTACACACTTCCATGCAGTCTTCTACATGTGACAAATTGCATAAAGGAAAAATTGTATAGTCTGAGTTGTGTGGCATCGCAAAATGTGAACACGTTAGCCTAAATCCGTCTACTGTCATGTTTAGTTGGGAGATTTACAAATAAAATTTGGTTCACTCTTTCTTTGAAACCTTTCATTCCCAAGATCTGATTGTTAATTCTCCCATCCAGTTGCAACACATTTCGTCGTAAATTAGTTGCAAGAATTTGGAACTAGATAAAAATGACAAATATTAACTGATAACTGAGTACTTCTCATTATCTGTTTGCTAGATAATGTATGGATATTGAGGGGAGAAGCTGTATCTTAATCTCTTTTGAGTGTTAAAGGGTTATGAAAAATCCTTACCTTATCAGATGAACATTTGGCAAAGTCGAGCTTAACAAGTTTCCTTACAACTTGGAGACTTCCATTTGAGGAGGCGATGTGTAACGCGTTAAGTCCCTCCTGACAAGAAAAAGCAAGCGAAAGAGATAATTGAGTCAAGAATTGACCCTCGCAGTTGGACTGCAATTTAAGTTATTATAGAAAAGGATTCTGAAAAATTCAGAATTCGACGAGATTCGTACCCGGGCCTCCGCGATACAAGTTGGGTGCTACTGGGAATTGAACTGCTAAGCATCATGTTGGGAGTGAGGCAAAAAATTGACTTTCAAAATATGATTTATTTCATCTGATTTTGAAAGATATTTGACGGAGGCGAAGTTATTAAGTTGCACCTTCGTTACCTACAGTCGCACAAATCACAACAAAACAAACAAGTAAACAAACACGAGGGGTTTTCCTGAGCTCACCGCGTTAATCTGTGTCATGGTGTCGGGTCTCACGTTGAAAAATAATTCGACGATATCTTCCCTGTCATTTAGAGCAGCGTAATGTACAGGAATCATGTCTTTCTGTTTAGGATAAAAGCCATGTAATTACATTAATAAATCTTATTTGTGTGTTATCAAGTGCTTTTCTATTAGGTGTCGTAGAAAAAAATAAAAAAAAACAAACAAAAAAGAAAGAAAATACGAGAAAGAAAACAACAACAACAAAAGCAACAAAAAAACCAAAAAAACACCGTAATCCCAACAGCCAATCAAATCAAAGGTATACACCTAACCCTTTCAGCCCCAAGAGAGAAGATTATCTATTTTCTCTTCACAGTATTACTGCTGAATCGAATATCAAGGTCATGAAAATAAACTAAACGATCACTAAAGTTAAAAAACACTTGATCATTAAACAAATTCTCTAAGGCAGAACCATAATAAATATGTAGAGCACATTATGGAGAATATGTATACTGGAGTTTAGGTGTAAAGGATTAACTCCCTTAAGCGCGGGAAAACCCGCTTGGTTGAGTCTCACTTTTGATAGGTCAAAACGGTTGCATAAGTTAATGAACTGCATAGCATAAGGAAGCACATGCAGTGCAACCTTGGATTACTTTCCACCCTCAATTATAAGGTATGGAAACGTCCAATTCGATCTGTCACCATACATGTGATTAATAGTGTATTGTTAATTACGAGTATGATTACAGAACGAATTGGAAGACACAAAGTCCTCCAAGTTACCAATTAATCAGAACTATGACAAAATTAGAGAAACAAAATAACCTTTAGTTAAATATTTTTAGAAAAAATGCGACAGCTACCCAGGATAAACGTGTGACAACAGTGCTTGCATGTCCAATTACACAGGTATGTCGCGTATCCTTTCCAATTGGTGCTCAAATTGGGCTCAGGATAAGAACCAATTACGTTCGAGAATATGGTTAAAGTTTTCGGTTATTCTCTTGTCAATAACTCTGATCATCAGTGACATTTTTTGAAAATCTACAGCAGGTCTTTGTAAACACTCCAACTAAATTTTCAACCTATAGGAAAATAAAATGCCCCACCAGTGTATAGAAGACAATTCTCCCTAAACAGAAATGACTCAGACCAGATAACCGAGCTGGCTAGAAGTTGGGTCTCAGTGACATTAGCTGTGGTCTCGGAATATCAAAGGAAAGTACTTAGCCGAAAGAACTCACACTGTCTGCCACGTTAGCATCTGCACGTAAATCCAGTAGAACCTTGCACACTTGAAGCCTGCCATTCTCAGCTGCTAAATGCAGGGGACTCTTCTTTTCCTAAGGAAAAAATCATCCGAATTATTGTATGTATGAAAAGGCAGCAAGTACACTAAAGAAATATAAGTGCAATCTGTTGGCAGGGAGTTCGACAGGTAATTGGAATTACTTTAGACATTCAATTAAGAACTTTCCCATAAGGAGTAGCCAACTCTTTACGATAGAAAAATATTTTCATCACCATCTGGAAAATTCCAGACGATTGACAATGATGCTTTTCACCATTTACCCCTTTAAGTGAGCAGCATCACTGCTAAATTAATCATTAGGGTCACGAGAACAATGCCAGAGGCTATTGATGGGTGACTCAGCGAATTCCCTCTGTCAGAACCATAAGAAATGTATGAAAGACAGTATGGAGAATATTCCTATTGATAACCAGGGTGTATACGTTTAAACAATACACACCACTGTCAGAGGGTCGATAATGGCATTGTACTTGGTAACAAGCACACGAACAAATTCTGGGTGACCCTTCTCGGCCGCCATGTGAAGTGGAGTCGTACCAATCTGAAAAAAAAGGTCCACACGTTATTAAAGACCTAAACCAGTACAATAGGGTATGATTTGTGAATATGATTTGTGATTTGTGCGAAGACGTTTCTAAGACTGAGATGACCAACAAGTGGAAGGTGAGAATTAACCTTTTCACTTATGTAAGCGACCAAGACAGAGTTTCTCCTTACATTATTAATAAATACAATGTCAAGTGATGAGAATAACGAAAAATATCACTCGATGGTCCAATACCAAATTCTCCGAACTAACATTATAAGAATTGTATGGCTGACAGTAAGGAGAATTACTCTGAGATCTTGGAAGTGAAAGGGTTAATTACAGAGAAGTAAAGACGGTGTTTGGTGCTTTTTTTCTAACGAACTACTTAACGAATCAGTTGAAACTCAGACAAGGCCCAAAACATATCGTTTATGTTCAGACATGAATAAACTTTAATTTTATTTTAATCAACATGTTATTAGCGGTTGAGCAAAGAGTCTAAAGCAATCAATGAACCAATGAGGGGAAGATAAGAACTTTGTACTCGTTGACTAAAGTTTCTAGAATTAAGTTACTTCAGCATTTTAATATGTTTTCATACCAACCTGGCAATTCTTGATAGCGAGACGACGACACACGAAGTAAATTTAATTTTAATTAAGATATTGTATGTAGAAATTGTGAATTATCCGTTTATTTATTCCTTCATTTAACTATTTATCTCTTAATCATTTATTCATTTACTTCTTTAATCATTTGTTTGTTTGTTTATTAGTTTATTTACACGTAAATATGCGGAGGAAAGCAAAGCAGAGGCCATTTGGGGGTAGAAATGTTTTATCAGAGAGCAGTTTTCAACTAAGTGTCGATAGTAATCAAGAGTTGCTTTTGCTTTTTATAACTTCGCCTCTTGTTTATTCCAGAAAACTTGCGCCATTTCTCAACCAATCAGATTCGAAACTAAACCCAATTGTGAGTTGGTTACCCGCCTTTTTCCCGCGCTTCGCTTTTACTATGAGCTCTCATTGGTTGCTCTTCACATTTTCCTTTTGTCTGATTGGCCGTCGCGAAAATTTTAGTTTTGATTTTTACGACACTCAATCGAAAAATACTTCATTACAATAAACTTTCTTACAAAAACGAGACGCAATGCTTTAATTTTATTTCTGCTTAAGCAAGTTATTTAATAGAGTGTAACAAGGTCATTAATCAGAGTGCAGTGAAGGCAAAAATAGATGATGTAGAGGAAGATTTCATGGATGGAATATGTCAGTGAAGATGCAAATGGAGCCCTTACAGGCAAATCTTCTGTGTTGTCTTTGCGTGTTTTATCGCTTGAATAACGGACATTTGGCTGAAAAGAGAACATTAATGACCAATATATGAGGTTATCAATTCGGTTAAATGTTAACGGTTAGTTTCAGTAACTGTCGTTTCTTGGTGGACCGTGACAAGATGTGTTCAAACGTCAATTAGCCATAGCTGACCATCATAAGTAAGCTTATGAAAGTTGTTGAAAGCAGAGAATATGGAAATCAATGTGACTAACCATTTCCTTTTTTTTGTTGTCTTTGGCCTTTTGGTTCGTCATGTTCTAACTAACAGATGCAACGTTGAGTCGTTCGTTTGATCTGAATCAACGTTTGAAGGTAATTGAATCGAATCCTTACATTAAATTGTGATGTCTCATCATAAATAACGATTAAAATAAAACAAATAAACGGAAGAAAAAAATACTTTCAAAGGAGGCTAATGACCAAAAATCGAGCAAACACCATGGAATATTTGAGGGAGTCAAGCGCGCTGACTACAAAGCCACCGTACCAACCACAACTTTTAGACTTCTTGGTACTCAATGGCCAAACTCATTTTCGAGTCGTTTGCGCCAGACACAAATATTAGGTTTTCCTAATTTTGTGCGCAACTAACATCAGAAACTCGCAAAATGCTGTGAAACTATTAATTTATACTCAGTTTTTGTATGTATACTAGTTTATATGATTTCAGGCTTCATATTAAAATGGTAAATACTTAAAAAAGTATATGAAAACGTTTTTTAGAGAAAAGTAAAAAAAACGAGTCAAAGTTACGAATTTAGCATGAGTGGTGGTTGATGGCGCGATGTGGAGGTTAAACCTTCTAAATCACTACAAATTATTTGCACAAACCTTGGTTCTGCCGTTCACATAAGCTTTGTGATTCAGCAGTTCACGTGCAACCTCCACATGTCCTCTGGATGCAGCGTAGTGGAGCGCTGTGCCACCCACCTTAAAATAAAAAGGAACGAGAATTTTCAATGCGCGCACTCTCCGAACATGTATAAATAAATCATCCAATCGTATAGCTCCAATCTGTAGAGATCCCATCTGTATACATGTATACTGTATACATAAATAAATTATGACAAATATTTCTTTTCTTGTCATTGTTCTGCTCCCTCAGAACAAAATCGCAAGAATTCGTTACCAGAAGAAATCTCGGTCATGTAGAACCGCAAACATCTTTTTCCCGAGGAAGAGAAAAAATCCTGGCAAATTTGATGTTTCATGCTACTCTCTGTGGCATTTTCAAGCACATGTACCATCTCACATGAGGAACATAAAATTTTGCTATATACCATCATTTTTGTTATATTTTGTTTTTTTATATCACCTTGCTGTTGTGGTCTCACTTAAGTTAAAAGTATTTATGCACGTTACCAAAAATAAGCTTCCTGAAGAGACGTCTTGGTTTACTTTAAAGTGAGAGGGGCAACTATAAGATACTGTGTTTATCCCACAGTAGTAGTTTTTAAAGTTTAATTTTCATACTTAAAAATTATTTAGAATACTTGATACCTCGTCAAAAACATCTACTCTGGCGTGAAAACGCAAAAGTGCTCGCACCACTTCTAGCTTGCCATACTGTGAGGCAATCATCAGTGGAGAGGCTCCGCTCTACATAACATTAAAAATAAAAAATCTCATTCATTAAAAATACAACAGTTTTACACATTGTGAATTGGCTGGAATGGTTTTAGTTTAAATAGTCCCAAGTAATTTCATGCTAATAGTGATTAGTTTAATTGACTGTACAACTACCAGCCTAAGTAGGATCTTGGAGTAAAAGCCCTCCCTCGGTCCCCTACCCACTGGCCCCCCACCCACTGCCTCCCACCCACTACCCCCCACCCACTGCCCCCCACCCACTGCTTTCAACCCCCGTCCCCTTTCCTCCAACCCCATGCCCCCTCCACCTCTTGTCTACCCCCCATCGGTCAGCCAGACAGTTATGTCCCACCCAAGGAAATCAGTTACCTCAGTTGTCTTGTTAATGATACTCAGTTTGATGTACTCTGGAACCTTTGGGGAAGTAAATATTTTCTCAATCATTTGGTAGTTTCCTGACCGTGCGCACCAGTGAAGGGGTGTCTCTCTTTTCTAAATTAGGCAAAAAACAAAAAGAAAATGAACTAAAACAAGGAGTAAAAAGAATCTACACAGAAAGAAGACATTTCATAAAAGTTGCCATCACGTTTAGTGTAGTTCTTCATAGAAAAAAAATTATACATGACGACAAAGCTCAGACACTAACGAAGCTGGAATTCCGCATGAAAAGTCGAGGCCTGGTCGGTGTGAGCTCTGCTAGGGGCTTGGCACTAGTAATGAGTACGTGGCAGACCCCTCGTTGCAGACTTCACGGCGGTTCTCTTATTCAAGGCCCGCAACTCTTCTACGAGCGAAGGAACACTCGTCCAGCAATAACGAGGGCCTGTTCGCCACATTGTGCATTACCTGGTAGGTTGAAAAAGTCAGGTCTGCACCATGATCAAGAAGAATCTGCACGGTATTAACAAGATCCTCTGTGCCCGCTGATCCTTCAGGAATACCAGCCACCGAATGAAGAGCAGTCACTCCAAGCTTAGAGAGAAAAGCAACGTGTTAACCCTTTCACTCCCGGATGTGATTAAAGAGGAATTTCTCATTACAGCATCAAAATATTTTTACGAAGAAAAGTGAAGTAGAGAAATAAATAAATCAGCAGGGGAACTGATTGTTGGATTGTGGAACAAATTCTCAAAGCCAAAATTACAGGAAATGCATGGCAAACAATGCAAGGAATTGGTTTTTAGATCAGTGAAACCTTTAATCCCTAAGAGTGACTGGCCTCTGATTTCTCCATTCAGAATCACCCTTAAATTAAATGTAAAGGTCATGAGAATATTGGAGATGATCACCAATTTACGAAGCTCCTGATTCTCAAACAAATTCTCCTTGTCAGTACCACAGGAAATGTTGGGAGATCAGTGTGGAGATTATGAATACTAAAGTAATGGTGCAAAAAGGAAGCCTCCACTGGTTGAAGAGAATTTCTCAAAGTTATGCGATAACATCGAGTCCTTACAGTATACCACAAACTTACATTGTTTGGTATGTTAACAATCAAACGAGCGAGAAGGTACGTCTTGTCCCTAAAAAGTTGATCGATCAGAGCCTCTACTATTTGAAAGTGTCCATTTTGACAGGCAAAATGAAGAGGGGTGTCTCCTGACTGCAACAGAATAACAATTGAGTCCTTTAGAGAGTTTTTAACCCTTAAAAGAGTGATTAGTAACTATTTCTCTCATCAGTATCGCCCCTAAAATGAACATTGAAGTCATGAGAATAAAGGAAATGATCACCAACTAAAGAAGCTCTTGATTGTTATATGAATTCTCTTTGTCAGTACCATAAGAAATGTATAGAGAACAGTATGGAGAAAATGCATACGGATCTTAGGGTGTAAAGGGTTAATGAGTGCCGAGAGTAATCCGGGACTGCTCTGTTTTTACTTCACTTCGCTCTGTGATTGGTCCAGGAAACTCGAGCCACTATCTCAACCAATCAGACACAAAATTAAAAAAGAAAAACTTTTGGTTGGATTAACCTCTTAGAGTATAGGCTAACTTTAAGTATACCTTGCTACGGCGGGCTACTTCAGTATTTTCTCGCAAAAGGATATTTACAACTTCTAAATTCCCGCATCTGGAAGCTAAATGAAGAGCTCTCTCGCCGTTCTGTGAATGAAAACCACAGGTTTGTTTTTCAGATATGTAATTAGCTCTTGTTGAATCATATCCACCATGTTCTCAATGGTCTGTCGTTGTGTTTATGAAGAAAAGAGCAGTGATGATGAGAGGAAGGGATGGGGGGGGTGGGGGGGGGGAAGTTTGCATTGTGCGTAAATCAATCAAATAATCAACGGTCACTTCGCCACAGTAGACTACGTTATAAAACCATTCAATAGAATGTCAAATTTCACATATTCATGAGAAACTTACGTCCTTTGCGGAGTCTGGGTCAGCTCCACTTTTGATCAAAACGTCCACAACTTTTTCTCCTCCTTTAACTTTTGCAGCCATATGCAGCGGAGTTTCTTTCGCCTAAAATTCCAATATTGAGAATTTAAGAATTCTTTTTCAACTAAACCAGGCCAATATGCCTTATCTCGGTACAAAATCACAAACGAAGATGGGGTGTTAGAAGATGCCCGAGAATGTCATTGACAGCAAGTGCCGGCTTTCTTGCGGAATGTGAATGACATCTCAAAAATTTTAACCTGAACTGATGAACAAAACACCTAACTGTAAGTTAGCAAAGAAATTCAGAGAAAAGTTTTAACTAAGTATCCAAAATAATTTCGGGAACTGAAATGGTATCGCTTTTTTCCCACGCTCTGTGATTGGTGAAAAAACTCAAACCAGCCTAACAGCCAATCAAATGAAGAACTATCCCAACTTGACCACTCAAAGTTTTCCGCGCCTCTGATCGGTTACATATTTCTGCTCTGGGATCTAATTGATTCCCAGTGAAGTTTTCCTTTCCTCTGATTGAGCGTGATTTCTCTGGTTTTGGTATTTCGATACCAAGTGGCGCTGTAAAGTAACAGAAATATTTATAAAGCCTTACCAAACCACCGTCAACTGTGACATCCGCCCCGTGTCCAATCAGCAGTTGCACAACTTGATGTTTCTTACTGAGACAAGCCAAATGAAGTGGAGTGTATTTACGCTGTCAGACATAAGAAGAGTGAAGCCAAGAATGAACGCTTTGTATAAAACCACTAACGATTCTTTTACCAGACTCCTAAGATTCCAAGAGTTTTACAACGTAGAAATATCTAAGTCAAGATCTGTAAATCTTGAGAAAAATTCTCCGAATTTTTCCAGTTTATTATTTACAATCAGTGCCAATCTTCCTTATCGTCAACAGTCCTCGTTCCTCTGGACTTTGTCTAACCCACCAAACGATTACCAATATGTTTCATTCTTTCTTCGAGCAATCCTTTATGACCCCTGAACACGATTCACATCATAGTATCGTAGCATTTTATGATGAACTAAAGTCTCGATCCGTTATATAAAGGGTAAACACAGCTGATTACATCACCAAAATGGACTGACTTAGTTAAACTACTTTACTGTATTTTACGTTCACGTTGATCCCTCTGTACAAACATAGACTTCAGATTAGTTCAAGTTGCTGATCTAAAAAAGAGTTATTTCGATCTCAAGATCTTTAGCTCATAGGAAGACCGTGTGCTTTATCACAGTCACCCCTCTCCCGTTCAGTTTTTACGTCGTGTCTGATCGCTATAACTGAAAGGTTAAAGAAAAGAACCTTGGAGGAGTTTTCTTTTCTTGATGAACAGCCTATTGAAAGAATGAGCCAAAAAGGTGATCGTTATTCTCACCTTGTTCTGGACGTTTACAGGAACTCCTCTTTCGATCAACATTCTAACCAAACCCAAGTGACCTTTCTTCGCCGCCTCGTGGATACATAAGCCCCCACTCTGTAAAAAGCAAATATCTGAATGAATTACATAAAAATTGTTGCTAGAATGGAAAATTGTCAAAAGGAGTCTCTTTTCGGAACACGTTTTAGGGTTAAATTCGGGACCAACGATCCCAGATCCACGTATTTTTCTGGCAGAGTGTTAAACTTGAACCCGGGAGCAAAGTTGCGGGTACCGTAATGACATGACCAAATTGCACCCTCCGTGTGAAAGCCAGTAATATCTAAAATAGGATATCGCATTACCTTATTAGGCATGAGTAGAAGGACACCTTTCTTTATCAAGGCATTGGAGGCGTCCAATTGACCCGCCATGCACGTCTGATGAAGCAGGGTACTGCCATCCTAAAGAAGAGCAATAAGGAGCAACAAATTTGTTCACAGACAGCTTTCTTAACCCCCTAAACTCCCAGAAGTGATTAACATGTAACTTCTCCCTATAATATCCATACATTACCCAGCAAAGAGGCAATGGGAAAGCTTAAACGCATCAGGCAGCCTCATTCGAGCGGATCATAGGACAATTACCTCTCTATTTCTGATAAGAAAGGGCCTGTAGATCTACCTAGAAGCCGCGTGGATTCACTTTTTTTTTTTTTTTTTTTTTTTTTTTTATTTTTTTTTTTATTTTTTTCTATATATTATACTTACATATGTACTTACACTATACTTACTTCTTACACGATGCTTATACTACATTAACTTGCACTACTTACAATACATATATTACAATACAATTACACTTGTCAAATTGAATTACAGTTGATCTACTTACTTTATTGTTTGCATGTTAATTGTTCGAGTAACTAATACGAATTTTGTTTGTTAATTACACTACATAGGGTATTAATTTTCTAGAATTTAATAGATTATTAAATAAATAGGTAGCGAAAAGAAATAAATCAAAATACAAAAGTTGAGAAGAAAAAGGACGCAATACAAATTTTATAAAGACAAAAAAATTTCCATTTGTTCTTGAATTCCTTCTCCTTATTACAAGTGACAGCAATATATTTTTCTAGATTAATTTTTTCGCGCACAAGTGAGACAAAATCATCGAATTGGTACGTTATGGTTTTTAAAGCGTTAACATATAAGAAATATTTACCCAAAATAATGAGTTGGTTGAGGGCTAAACAGTAGGTGTGACAGCGAATAATTCCGAACATAACCTTTAGTTCTGACAGCAGCAGTTTCGTATTACTAGAGATTGAGTACCAATCCTGGAATCTATTCCAAAAAGAACTTGCGTGCATGCAGTTTATAAGCAAATGCCACAGGGTCTGACACTCAGAAGGACAAAAGGGACAGGAGGGCGAGGCAACTTTTCTCATTTTGTGTAACAAGCTATTCGTTGGTAAAATTCGGTGACAGATTTTGTATTGGAACATCGTCAATTTAATTTCTCTCGTGGCTTTGGATGGTAGGAGGTAGATTTTAGTCAAGTCACTTTTCTCGACGCCAGACGCTAAAAGTTTTTTCTCAGAAGTTGGTGGAGGTAGATCTTCAAGGTTAAGCAGCGTACTGTATATTGTCTGGCACGACAGTGAACAGATTGAGGTGGGAGGCGTAACTGGGTCTTTGGAACCTTCTTGCAATACTTTCTTCCAATTTTGGGGAATAGAAGAAAGAATGCTATAATATTGTAAAAAGTTACATTTTACATTGAATTTATTGCAAAAAGAATTAAATGGAAGGAAATGGCCCTCACAGGAATCAAAAAGGTCCGAGATTTGTTTTATTCCTGCTTGATACCAATGAGGAAAGAATACCATTTTCTTATTCACAGTTAAAAATCGGTTATTCCAGATTTGCTGTGAGAGAACCTCATTTTTATTTTTAGGTGTGGCCGTTGCGATGTCAGTAAAAAATGATTTGTTTGTAGAAAGCAGGAAGATGGTTGTCAAGGAGATTATAGTCATAATTACATTTAAACAGTTGTGTACCGCCAACATTGGCTAGGAGCGATTTTGGTATGTACTGCCATGGAGCATCCGAGTTAGAGCATAACCGTTTGACCCAGTTTAACTTAAGCGTTTTGTCGAAGAGTGGATTCACTTTTGCTTGCACAATTTAATGTTTAGTTTTAAAATGTGTGAAACTAGAGAGTAGATTTTGTAGTTCATTATGAAAATGTTTTGTTACCCTGCTTCTGGAGGACACGTCCACTTTAAATTTTTCCAGAAAAAATGTCACAATATTGTGATGCCCAGCGCTGGCTGCCAAGTGAAGCGGATTCATGTCGTCCTGTAGGTAAAAGTAAGAAAGTGAGACCCTCGAAAATTTTTTCCGAGTACAAAACTAAATTATGGGTGTCTCAACGATAACATTGCGAGTCCTGGTAATAATTCAATCCTATAAAAGACCGAGATTTTGTATATTTTTAAGTATTATTATACTGTACGTAAATTTCTAGATTAGTTTGAACTTTTATTTGTCAATGAACCTCATTTTATCGACTTGTACTGAATTCAAATACCATAGGGTGATTTTACAAATTATTTTTTTTATTATTTCACATTTTACTAGTTAATTGTAGGTCCACATCAGCATCATGGCTACACTTTTGTAACCTGCTTTTATCACTAAATAAAACGATTGATTGATTGATTGATTGAAGGTCTTTGTTAACGAATTTAATTTCCCTTTGGGCTCTCCAGGTTTCGGGTTCCCTGCTCCACCAAAACATTCAAATTAAGTTGGTAGACGGCTCATATTCAAGTGATTGACGACACTATTTACATGCTACTCTTCATTCTTGAATGTTAATTCTGCCTCTCATTTCCCTCAATGCTTCCATACAACATTTCCACTCTTCACATCAGTTACTTACGTTATCAAGTGTGTTGGGATTCACTTTCAAGCTATGTAGGTATTTCACCATTTCTTCGTCACCTTTTTGAGCTGCTAAATGTAATGGAGTTTTTCCTTCATCCTACAAAACAACACAAACGAAAGAGAAACCAGAAAACGTCACCACTATCACCACTGGCGCATTAGACAACAAATCGCGCTTGATAGTTCAGGAATTTAGTCTGACAAAGACTTCCCTCATACGCGTCAGATGCACTTTTAGCGCCCACAGAAAACTGAAATGAATCCTTATGGTAATTATCTATATTCTGTTCGATCGCTGGAAAAAGCGATCTTAGCCCTCGTCTGAATTTTAAAAAACTTCCTTCCTGGGAGAGTTTTTTTTAATCTTGATCTTTCTCCTCCCACTTAAACAACAACCAACCCCAGGAGATTCAATCGAGAAAGACTAGATTCCAAACCGCTTTATTCAAGCCGTTTTCGATTGAGTGTCATAAGTAACCAATTATTTTCTTGGTTTTAATAAACTTCTCACTGTGATTGGTCTAGTAAACTCGCGCCACCTTCTCGACCAATTAGATTAAAAACTAATACTAATCCTGATTTAGACACTCGTGTTTTCCTGCGCTTCACGCAGTTTTCCTGTTTCTACTTGGAGTTCTTATTGGTTGATGATGTCAATCTTCGCTCCGATTGGCTGTTTTGATTAATTTGGTTTTGGTTTTCCGAAGGAAAAATTGCTCTACCACTAAAGTATCCCGTTCTTCTTACGAGGTATCACTCCTTTTATAACTGATGTTGGTCAACTTACGTTCTTTTCGTCCGGTGGAGCCCCCCACTGTATCAGGAGTTTGGCCAATTCTGGATCCTTACTTTTCACTGCGATGTGCATCAAAGTGTCTCCATTTTTCTATAAAATAAAGTTTTACATACATCAACCAAGAACAGGACCACAGCGGGACGCAGAGCCCTGTGGAGCTGGGTTACAAGACCACAGTTAACCAATCTTTAAAAATTCAACCTGTAACATGTCCCAAGTACATCGTGTTCGATTCAATTAAATCCTCTTCATCCTTAACCATCCCTGGTACTTGTTAGTCAATTATTGACTCTGCATCCATACATTATAGTCATTTACATTGTGTCAATTTTCTCCATCCCGAACTGTCCTTGTTTCTTACTAGGCTCTTCACGTTTCTTGTGTGTATTTCCATTTATTGCATACATGTTTATAGTCAGTTCTTTCTTCTTGGTTTATCATATGGTCACTTTTGCCTTCTTCTTCCTCAGTAGGCTCATATATTGTAGTCTTCGCTTAACCCTTTAACTCCCAAGATCTGATTTTCAATTCTCCCCTCTAGCTGCTTAACATTTCCTTATAAATTAGTTATGAGAACTTGGTGCTAGATCAAGATAGCAGCTTCTACCTGAAAAGTTTGAATATTCTCATTACCTTTTTGCTGATTAATGTATGAACATTATGGGGAGAAGTTTCATGTTGATCACTTCTGTGAGTTAAAGGGTTAATGAGTAGTTTTGTACCTCACAGTAATTGGCTCAAGCAATCGAGAAGTCCTTCTTGAACTTTCCTGGTTTTGTTTTGTTTTGTTTTTTTTAAGGATGTTAAGATCAAAGAAAGGAGATTACCAGACAATGTTACGTCACCTACCGTTCTTCCAGATCTGACGTCTTGATCCGCTTGTGAAGTATGCAAAAGGTCCTTGATCGCCTGTGTGCAATTTACTCGGACAGCAACAAACAAAGGTGTATCGCCAATCTGATAGAAACAGTCAATTATAAATAGATATTACTTTACCAGAACATCATACAAATAAAGCTCAAACTGAGGATAAAAATTGTCAGTTTTAGCTATTTTAATTGAAATAAGTTTCCGGCATTAAGATTAGCCGTGAGAGTGACGAATGGTTGGCCTGACTCGCGGAAAACCAAGATGCCCTCAAGCCAGCCGTCAATGACGAACATCTTATTTCTCCCAATAGTGTCTCCCCTGAATCAATCATTGAGGTCACGAGAACAAGGGAAATGATTGCAAACTTAAGACAATTCACCCTTTAAGTACCAAAGGAAATGTTTAGATAACAGAAGGGAGAGATTGCATACCAATGTTAGGATGTAAGGGATGTAAATGGACCTGGATTCTATACCTAGAATCAAATATTCTACGTACGTTTTATCGCACTGTTGTCCAAAACCAAAAGTAATAACAACGAATACTTCGTCGCCTTTGAAAAGGATCATTCCAAATAGAAACATAAATCTGAGAGACTCAGATATTAATAGAATTTTTTTGCTGATTCAGCCATCTCCTGCTTTAAAAATCTTCGAAAGGCCTGAAAGGTCCCTCGGACAGTAATCTGTAACTGCGAATTTTCCGCAATAATCAAGTGCTTTATGCTTTCTTAACAAGTTACTCGTACAAAATACCTTGTTTTTGATGTGGATGTTAGCTCCAAATTTCCCCAGCAGCAGTTCCACAATATTCACCTGTTTTTTTCTACATGCTATGTGTAAGGGCGTGTCTCCCGCCTGTAACAAAAGCAAAGTTTCCTCACGACACAAACTGTTATGATGGGGGAGGCCTTAAGCAAACCCAGTAGTACGCACACTGGTCAGGTTAAATTAGCGGATTTAAGATTTGTTTAGCGCTATCTTCAACGGAATGTCTAAAGTAATCTGGGACTGAACTGGTGTTAGATGGTTCTCACATTACCGCCTTTGCATATCAGATACAAACGTACACCATGCACGACTTGCAAACTTCTGTTCCGTGTTTACTAGCATTACTATCTGATCACTTCAGGCCGGTTATTTAAACAAATTTTAGCGTTTGTTTAACAAAACCGCGTTCTAATCCAATTTCAGTTTAGTCGAAACTTTTATCTGAACATTTATTTTTGTAAACAGTGTAAAGAGGACCGAACGCTACAGTGGGAGGACATTTATTTAACTAGACCAACCCTCTTATACAGAATCCCTGAGGCCCACTACTTGCTACTTGGTTTGGGTTAGACCTCGTGTAAATAGCTGGCCCTTTTATCTCTCGTAGGTTCTCTTGGCAATTTTCACTACTCTGTAGTTGGTTGTTTCACGACATTAAAATGAAAAGCATTTCTTCATATTTTTCGCACTCTACGAAGAGAAAAACATTTTAATAACTGAACAGAAGACACAGCTGGATGTATAATACGATCTATTTGATTAACCAATCCCAAGACACGTGCTAACAAATGCCTGGTGATTGGTTAATAACGTGGGTTGCATTCAACGCCATGATACGCTTCTCTCGTGTTACGGTCCGGCCCAAATGTAGGTAACACAGCACATGCAAAGCAAGGGGATACTTATTGATTGCTGCTCTCGATACACAAACCTAGGAAATCAATTTCATCGACCCTGGTGATTAAGTTTCGTTCATGCATTTGAGGTTATTTGACAGAGCTCAGCCTAAAGAATAATTCGTCTAATTATTTAACTAAGCGAAATGAAATCTTGATTAACATGCCGCCAGGTCACTTAGCCGACATTGTTCAGATTTGAACTGTAGGACAAACCGTACATCGTTGGAAACGTTTGCTTTGGCTTTCACAACTTGAAGGAATCTTGCCATATTGATATCTCCTATCTCAGCGGCAAGGTGAAGAGCGGTGTTTCCCTCAGTCTACAGGAAACGAAGAAATAGGGACAAAAGTGAGGCTAGCATGCGTATCACAGTTTTGGCTTTCAAGGGATCACAGAGACGCAAGAAATAACCAACCAGTAACAACTGCAATTTAGCATCATTAACTGAGTTGATAACGTAAATTGACCACCGTAAAGTGTTTAAAAGCTGACGTTGCGAGCGTTTGTCCCTCGTTATTCGCTCCGACGAAGGGCACACGCTGGAAATTTCAATTTTTTTTAACTCTTTACGAAGGCCAATTTACGTTATCAACTTAACTGATAATACTAATTACCCTGTTATACTCTCCCACCGGCGCGCAGTACCACAATTTCTTTAGGAACTTACCCCCTCTATCCAGTAACAACCGTGTTCGATAAAAAACTCCTATCATGGGAACGGTGGAGGTGGATATCATTAAGGCATGGTATCTTTGCTTGAAATTGAAAGGCTTGGGCCTGGTTATTTAATTTTCTTTAATCATGGTTTACACAAAGTTAAACATTTCCACGCGAGAAAAAAACTATGAAGACCTTAGACAGAATATAACAACAATCAAACGCACATAAGACGTTTAACTTACCGTTTTAGTTTCAGTTTTAGCTCCTCCTTGAACCAATATTTTGCAAATTTCGACGCTTTTCAGTTTAATGGCAATATGTAGGGGTGTTTCGCCATTCTCCTGCATAAGAAAGATGACAAACATTTTTGTATGGTCTGCAGGGTGGTAATTAAAAGTTATCAATTAAACTATCCACATAAGCTTGTTCTTTAGAATTCACAGACTCGCATCTTTATGGAATGATCATTTAAAAAAATAACAGCTAAGGATTGCCAAGCTTCTGAAATTGAGCTTTTCTAAAGTAACACTTTAAGAACCGCAGTCAGTGTTAATATATCGATGTTCACCAATGATTGAGTATTTTTTTAAAACCAATATTTCACGCAAAAAAACTTGATATTTAAAAAGTTCACGCAAAACAAAAGCGCTAAAAGATGTTCTGTGCCACTTCAAACTGCTAACACTTCGTTGCCCGCTAATTCCGACCCAATTTCTTGAGCAAATAGAACAATCTTCAAATGAGCGTCAAAAGTAATCCATTGGTTTTGCTTTACTCTGCTCTGTGATTGGTTCAGAAAACTTGCACCACTCTCTCAACCAATCAAATGCGAAAATAACACTAACCATGACTTATTTTCCCGCGCTTTCAGCGCTTTGCTTGTTTTTATTTTGAGTTCTCGTTGACACTTCAGGCCATTTTCTCTTCTTCTAGTTGAACGTTGTAATAACTTTGATTTGGTTTTTTCAACACTCAATTGAAAAGGCCTGTGGTAGAAAAACCAGTTTACCATGCGACGGAGAAGGTCAGTGAAAGCTTCTTAGAGATTCTGGTACTAGAAAATGAAAGTATACATACCGATTTAGTTTCGAGGAGATCCTCGTCCAAATATCCACCATCAAGAAGCTCCTTCAAGTCTTCTACATCTCCAGTCGCGATCGCATGGAGTACTGAGTCAATCACGCTCTACAGAGGGGACGCAAGATGTGTCACAATCATGAAAAAAATACGGTTACAGCAACCTCACCGGACATTCTCGAAAGCAACCAGTTGTCCTTGCGGTTTTAAATCACCTCCCCACTGGGGGGTATTGGCAGAAAACTGTCAACTAAACGGCGTGGCTGAGGATGGGTGCATCTGTACCCCCTTTTAGCCAAGCAATAGTACAATACAGTAATATACAATACCGTAACCTGGTGTATCCCTAACCGCCAGTTAAAAGCTTATTTAGCTGCAGCCTTGCAATCCTGCTTATGTCCCCGAAACTCTGAATGAACTTATGAAACTCTGTGTAAACTCTTTCCCGTTAGTGACTTGATCAAGTTCTGGACCAGCCTGGGGTTTTTCCTTACGTAAATATAAAACTTTATTTGGGATAGATGGCAACCATCACATGTAGTTACTTTGCCTTTAATGCGGTAAAACAGCAATAACTCGAGAAATCATGAATGGAGATACAGGAAATTAAATGTCAATAAGAAATGAAACATTTTCGGTCGTTAAAGCTCATAGTGACATCGGTTACTCACTCAATGACTGCGATGTGAAGTGAAAGTTTGACCGGTACTAATCGAAATACGCGTTATATGTCGACAATCCATTGGCTGGAATGAAAAAGCCTTTGCACCTTGATCGGCTAATGTTAGCCAGTTACGGCAAGTGACCAATCAGAAGATACGTAAGCCATACTTACTGATAGTACTCGTCGTCGCCTTGGTGTTCCAGGTGTTCTGGGTGTTGGCACTCTTTCTCGGAGCTTTTCGCTAATTGCTGTGTTCTCGAGACGCGATGCTAGATCAGTCGCAGTTACTGATTCCTAAACATAGAGCAAGAAAATGTTTTGTTCAGAGGAGGAGCGAATTTCATGCGAGTGTCTAAAATATTCCGGAATAGCCATTAATTTACAATCAAAAACGTTAATTTCCTGCTCCGGAAGCATAATAAAAGTTAAAAATTTTTTCCAAACTCGGAGCTAAAAGTTAAAACTTATGAAATATTTCGTCCGTATTTCGACCGGACTTCATCAGTCAATGATATGAATGTATTTCAAAATTGAATGGTTTTCAAAATTCCCGCCACCTTCTCTTTATGTCCTTCATGGGTTTTTGTGATGGCAATCTTTGATCTGACTGACAGTTGTGATTATTTTGGTCTTGGTGCCACGATGTTTTAAGTGCTCTCTAATAAACAAATAGATTCAAAGATGCCTTGCGTCTGCAAATTGACAGACGTAAAAAATTTGGTAAGAAAAAAAAAAAAAAAAAAAAAATGTCGTTGATAATGACATCATTTATGCGTCTGTCCCCCAATATATCATAAGTAAGAACTGATCAAAATTCGCACAAAATTCAGCTTATCAAATAAAAACTTTTTGACGAAAAACAGATCAGGAAAAAGGATTTTAGTACTGCTTAGTATCGAGCACAAAGACTGAGTGCTTTGCATGCCTACGGAGACACGGGCTTTGCAAAAATGATGTGTGGTACAATTGTGCCATGCCATAACAATTACCAAATACACTCCATGTTGCCGCGTGTCTCTTCAGCAATAGATCACAGATGACGTTGAAATGTGGTGAGACCAAAAAATTGGCACAGGAGGCGCAGTTGAGTGTTTCATTGAGTTACCTGTCTTCCAGCAGATCATAAGTAAGAAACAATCAAAATGCGTGAAGATCATTAAAGAAATACATCAACTCACACTGTCTGCAATATCAGTTTTAGCACTACGGCTGACGAGAAAGGCAACCATTGTCTCATCCTCGTTGGATACGGCGATATGAAGAGGGGTCTGGCCTTCACTCTGTAACACAATTGTATGGTTCAGTTTGTTTAGAATTTTCTTAACACTTGGCCCTTATTCCTCTTGGTTTTCAGAGGATATTATTCTATGAAAATTTTAAAGGTTCAACTACAGCGGAATCAATACAGGAGATTAGTTTCTTTCCGTTCCGGTTATTTCTATCTCTACGTGCTCGCAGATTTCCTCTATGTACGTTATCTGTTCTTTAACTTTTGTCCTATTCCCGCGCTATTGAATAAGCGATCCCTCGATTAAGTGCTCTTCCAAAAAGCGCTCCTTCTCTTAACTGAAATATCAAATAAGCGCCTGGGTGCTTATTCGAGGAAATACATTATTCAAAAAAATTGAATTAAGTATACAGTTTCCATTATGGTCCGTTTAACACCTTTTCACCGAGCAAAACGTCCTTCAACTAAATGAAAACTTAGAAAAATTAGTTCAACGAGATAAAAAGACAAAAGTGAAGCATCCCCGAATCAAGAAGGAACTAGAGTACTTAGCACTGATGAAGATTAGACTGGATGGCAGATGATGAATTCGAAAAATTCAGGCTAAACCTCTAAGGGACGTCAAATTGTGGCAAAGCTCTCTCTAACCAACGCGGTTTTTAACATATTCAAAAGAAAGTAAAAAGTAACCACCCAGAATTTAGTTTTTATTTGAATCACTTACATTTTGAATGTTGACGCTTGCTCCGTTCTCCATGAGAACTTCGACTATTTCAGTGTTCTTTATCCGGGTTGCCACGTGAAGTGCAAAATCACCTTCTTCCTGCAAAATTATACCGTAAAGAGGTCAGAAATTAACTTGATGGTTATAAGATAAATAGCGCTGATGCCACTTATGCCACGGTGAATCATTAGCAAAGTTAAGATTGTTGCATTTTGAGCGAAACATGGAGCATAGAACTCACAAATCTTCAACTATTTCTATAGTCGAGTAACCCGTGGAAGCAGCAAAACCACGAGAAGGGATCCAATGATACAGCTGTCACTTCCTCTTTTGTTACATCTATTTACTCGGAGAGTGTCTTCTGTTTCTCCCTCTTCTCTTCTGAACTTCCTTCCCCTCGGCTTACCAACATATACACACACACACAGTTTTAATCGATTAAAAATATTTCTCTGGGTTTCCACAAATTAAGAAGAAAATACTTTAGGCAAGAATGGTTTTATTAAAAAAAAAAAGCGACAACGGGCTCTTGTTATGTCTACGTGAAAACATGTTTAACTAATACCAGACATTTTTGAACAAGTAATGCGAATACTCATGCTGATCAGGTAGATGGTGTTTTCATGATAAAACACCAAATTCTTGTAACTAATTTATTAGGGAATGTGTAGCAGCCAAAGAGGAGAATTAACAGTCAGATCTTGAGAGTTAATGGGTTAAACTATGGTTAACTTAATTTAAGCTCGAACACGAGACACTAAGAGATGATGGCGCCGTTACGACCAAATTTCTGTTTCAAGAGCTTTACCCTTCGGCTACGAGATCAGTAGTCTGGCTATCTTACATCATTGATTATTAATCTCGTATTATCACATCTATCTTAATGCATCATCCTACACAACAGTGAACTGCAAGATAGATTAGGTGGAGCAATTCAGTTACGTAACTGAATGCCGGGCCATTGCTACCAATTTAAGTTTTCAGCCTCCTTATCTCTTGGAGTTTTACAACGGACCGTTAAGTAAAATTTATCCGGTAAATTCCTTAACTTCCAAAGAGAATTGATCGCTCTATCTTCTTCTCCATATTTTTTTGTAAATTTGCAAAGGCTTTTGGTGATTTGATTATCAAGATGTTAAATCCTTCCTGATACGTTTTTTATAACCTGTTTACTGTGTAATATTTTCGATACTGTGAGAAAAAGTTACATTTTCATTACATCAGGAGCAATTAGTTTTTCATCGTTTCAACACGCGCCCCCACTCCAACGAGGTGCTGGAGGGCGCGAAGAAAGAACGCTGTCGGTTATTTCTGAATAGATGTGTTGTAATAACAGCCGCTTGACTAATGTATGGCCCAGTTCATGAGAAGTTTCACAGAATCACCGCCTTAAAAAAAAAAATACTTCTTCACATAATATTAACCCAGATGTACATTTTTTTAATTTGGCAGTTTATCGCGAATATCACCGCGCAGGAGTTTAAAACACCTTGTACTGATTCTTTTTCAGCTATCTTCAGATCTTACAATCCATAAAATATTTTTCCAACCGACTCCTTGCTGAAGCGCGGCATCAAATTACTTAAACAACGTCCCTAATCCCCGTCTCCACTTAACGAAGCCTTCCTGAAACTAAGCCGCAACAAATCGCGCTACTCTCTCAGATCTACACAATGAGCCTAGTTTTTCTCCAGTATATTGCTTCGTTAAGTGTGATTATGCAATGACTGAAAAGAAACCGTCACTCAGAGAACAGAAACAATTTCGTTTCACTGGCTTGTCCAACTTGATTGTTTTTCCATAGTCTACCATATCCGAGCTTAGCTAGTGTCCTTAAAAAAACCACGGAGATCATTTATCATGAACTAGTAAGCAGTTTAACTGTAACAACCCATGAGAGGAAATTTTTTCATCTGGGTAATTAACATGATCGAGAACACTGGCATAGACTAAACTTCCAACCTTTTAAGTCAGCGAAAAGCGCAGAAAAATTAGAGTCTTCGATGACCTGACAAAATAAAACAGGTGCAAAACAGTAAGGTCAATCTTGAGATGTTTTACATTTTTAATATCATGATCATCAATTTCGAACTTTCTATACGCCTTAGGGAATAAACTTTAGCGACAAACTGTATTGTTTCATTAAAACCTTTAAATTAAAAAAAATTAAATATAGTCACAAACAACTCGATATTAACACTGTTTTAATGTTTCCACCTAGAAGGCGGTACAAAAGTTTTTCCATTGTTGTCAAGAAACTTTTCCGCAGACGACGATTTGGGTTACTTGGATTACAGTATCGATATTGCAAGGCTCTCTCTCTCTCGAATATATCGACTTGCAATGACAAATTACTTCTTGTTCCGTTAAGTTCTTAATGATTTCTGACGTCTGCATTTCTTGCAGACTTTTTTGTTACTTAACAGATGTGAGAGATGGAAAAAGAATTCAAAAACGGAAATTAAAAGAGGGTAATATGAAAACAATCGATTTGAAGTGTTTTTGAGTGAAAATCGGCACAATTGCACCAAAATGTTTCAGAAAAAAGAAGCCACCTTTAGGAAACTTAACTTATTTTTGACTGCTTTGAGGAAAAAAAAAGGAAAAATATTTCCAAGAGAGCTTTGCAGGATTTATTTGCACGATTTTTTTCTGTTTTCACAAAGAAAACAGGTGTGCGAATAGCGACTTACGCGAAAACATCTCTGACCTAATTCAGATCATATCTGATCAAAGGGACCCCAGTTTAGTCAGTAATGCAGGTATTATGATGAGAAACCGGAAGTTTTACAATTTTTACAATTTTCATGGCGTCGAAGTCTAAATCATGTTATTATTTTTATATGTTTGCTTTCAAGCAGATGGCTAATTATATTCAAACTAAGTTTTACCAAACGTTAGGCATAGGCATAGGCATCGAAATGTGAATCCAGATTCTCAGAACTTGAATGAAAAGACAAATTGGACTTCTTGATAAAGGATAATAAAGATTTAGGGAAAGGACTAAGAAACTATAGCAACGTGTGATTAAAAGCTGTGCCTTGAACGTGATAAAGAGTTAACAAGTCATGTTTGACTTCTATAATATGCGTTTTGTATACGCTTCTAATGAAAATTTTGACAGCTTCAACCTTGGGGAAAGTTGTTGCTGACATTTCCAATATTTGAAATTGAAACACGAGTCAGACAGTCACGATCGATTCACACAAAGACAATAAAACTGTCAAGAGGAAAACTGTGGTGAATATTACAAGAAAGCCAGGGGTAAAAACTAACCCAAAATAAACTGAAATTCTCGAATTTAAAGAAAGCGTTATATAACTAACATAACGAATGAGATGCATGGCATCATAAATATGGTTGGATATTTAAACTTTTATGAGTGGTCTTGAAAGAGCTTTACTGAGGTTGAATGTTGTGTTTCAAAGCCACATTTAAAAAGGCAAGAAGCCGAAAATTTCTGCAAAGGAAATCAAATTTATTACAGAATTGTGTTGGTGCTGGAACAACTGTTATAGGAAATAATTACGGAGCAACGAAAATTAAAACTACTTTTCTATGCATGGTGGGTTAAATAATATTAATTAAGGGGAAGGTAAACATCTTCTGTCTCAACGACAGAGTAAGTCCTCGAAGAGCTACACTCGTAAATTGTACTTGACAAAAAATATTTGAAAAAATAAAGCGAAGATTCCTTATCTTGAATGACCGAAAAAAGGAAAACACGAAAATATTTTGTAGGCTGTTTCTAATTTTAGATTGTAAACATTAAGTAAAAATAAAACATGACTAGTCAAAGTAAGATGAGTGATGAATTTTCCACGCAAACAATTAAGGAAGAAATATCAGAAACAATTAAAAATTGTGTATTCGCTACCTTTAAGAATCCGAAAAGATCTGCGAATCCGTGGAAAAAAAACCCAAACTTAAACACGGCTTGTCAACTTTTAAGTACAGTAAATAACAATCACTTAAACACTGGGAATAAAAATAACAATATTTTCAACCGTTTTAGCAAAATATAGATTATCATAACGTCAATAACAAAAACTGTTCCAAGTTTGAAGTTGTGGGGGCAGTGAAATAATACTATTTAACTGGAAATATAAAAGATTTAAATCTCTGTCACGGATTTTTAACCACTTCCCTCAACAGGTTTTTGCTAAACTTCATAAGGGTTTCTGTTAGATAAATTTAAAGCAAACATGTCGTGGAATACTTCCATAATTTTTGCCGAAGAAGTCGATTAAAGTACGTCTTTTACCCCTTGTAGAAGGTCATACACAAAGAAATGAAAGACGTATTCATGGACGCACAGCGTGCATAAAAAATGCGAAAACAAACTACTTAAATGTAGTCTTAACTTGTCACGAGAAGAATTTTAAAAAACGTTGCCAAAGTTCTTATCTACCGTTTTGATGTCGTTTAGTTGGGCGGGCTGTTCTTCCAGAAGTTCCTTCAGCGTATCTCTGTCGCATTCGCTGATTGCCTGGAACATCTTTGAAGCCAGCGCTGACGCACTCATCCTCTGCAAGAGAAAAATGGTTTTACGTTTAAATGACCTAAAGGGAAATTTAACCATAAAATTTGAAAGCCGGAAACGTACAGACATTACTGCAGTGTTAGTGCTCGTCCTTATTGCATGTTTCACGAATGAATTTGATGAAACTTTGATGAGGCATCACGCGTCGGATATAAATTCAGTTTTGTCTAGATACCAGTTTCTCTCGAAGTTTCCCGCTATTGTCTTGATGTAAAAATAATTTAAAAAAAACTAAGCTCTAAGAACTATTTGAAGACGTTTCAATGAATATTGAATGCTAGCAAACAGACTAATTGGTTTCTTCATTAGGGCCGAGATCGGGGAAGTATTTGCATTAGTGTTGTCAGTAACAAGCATCATTAAGAAGGAGCTACCAATGAAATGACAAAATAAGTTAGGACTAGTTTTTCACGTGAAAGAAGAAAAAAGAAAGTGAGTTAAATGTTCTTAACATACACACGAAACGACGACAGCTGTTAAGGAAGAGAACGACTTGAATGGAGGAAAACCCAACTCCTCGACAAAAATCTGGTGTGATCACATAATGTCATAGTTAAAATCGAAAAAGTTGAAAAAGAGAGGATAAAATCACTGAATTAATTACTTAAGCAAAAGCAGCAGATATAAAGACAACATTAGTTCATCCTGACGGCCAACAGGACCTAAAATTGATGCTATTGAGCCAATGAGCGAGATTTCAATGCGCAGACGATGGTGAGAGGCGGCAAACGATGACACATTTCTTCAAAAAAAAAGGAAAGACCAACGATAAAGCGTCCTTCCTTAGGAATTCATTTCATCTCTCGATCTGGAATCACAAGAAAATCTCGAAGAGCAGAAAGATAAAGAGAAAAGGTAGTAACCAAGAGAAATTCCCTTATGATAACTGTTCAATTATTCAACGAATTGCAACTCATGAAGGCTAAAACCAAATACACCTTAGCTCGTTATGATTAGAAGGCATTGAAGTATTTGTTTGCTCATCAGTTTACTTAAGTTGACGGGAGAATTTAAGAACTTATGTCCAATATTGGGAAATTGGCCAAATGCTCTGTTTATCTATCAAGCAACTGTAGCTGGAGCCAGATGACATACAGAAGGGCCACCCAGGAAGCACCCTTAGTCCCTTTGGTAAATAGAAACTCCTTTCTAAAAAGGAAAAAGATTACAGAGTTATACAGAAGACCAAAAGGAAAATGGAGGTCAAAGGATGAGCAATATCCGAGCAATTTTCGATCAGGTGCCAAACGTTACGCGTGATTATCTAGGTTTTGGTTTATTTCGCTCTATGATTGGTCCAGAAAACTCGTGTCAGACTCAAACCTAAAACCAAACGCGACTTGATCACTTATGTTTTCCCGCGTTTCAAGCAGTTTTCACGCTTTCACTTTGAGATGTCGTTGGCTAATTTTGTCGTTCTCTTTTTTTCGTATTGGCCGTTGTTACTTTGGTTTGTTTCTGTGACGCTAACTCGACAGGCGCAACAGAGACACACTAACGATTCCCCCTAAATTGATGTCTACTTTTTTAATTGAAAAACAAGAACGCTTTGTGTGGACATGCAGAAAACATTTGATGATAGATTCCTTTCGCTTTTACGGGACGAATAACTGCAAAAAATAAAAAGGACCAAGCAAGCGAAATGTTGTTTAGCCTTTGTTAGTTGTAGTATAGCATGGCTAAAGCGTTTTTCGTTTAGGCAAATACTGAAATCAACAAAGCAAGTGGTGACGCCTTGCAAGCATACATGGGTAGCGAGACCTGGCCTTTCAGACCATAGTACTATATTTGTGGTGTGTTTTTATTTTCTCCGAGGTTTGAAGAATCGTCCGTTTCCAAAAGACACATTTGCATCTTGCTTCTCGTGAAAAAAAGTGTATTTTTACTGAGAGAAAAGTAAGTCACGTAATCAATTAGCGCAGAAAGCCCATAAACAGTACCTATGGTTACGGTGAATTTCTCCATGATAACGAGCTGTCATACTCCTCTAAAAATGAGGGAGGATCTGACTGTTCTAAATTTTTCTTTAGAAAGAGGTGAGCAATGATTCTAGCTCTGTCTTATTGTTGTCAGTTGAAGCCTTGTTGGTTACCAAGACTACAAAACCAAAATAAAAAAAATGCATTGTATTGAACATAATTTGTCTACGACTTATGCTAAGTCACGTAAACAATTGGCGCAGAAAGCCCATAAACAGTATCTATGGTTACGGAGAATTTCTCCATGATAACGAGCTGTCCTACTCCTCTAAAAATGAGGGAGGATCTGACTGTTCTAAATTTTTCTTTAGAAAGAGGTGAGCAACGATTCTAGCTCTGTCTTATTGTTGTCAGTTGAAGCCTTGTTGGTTACCAAGACAACAAAACCAAAATAAGAAAAATGCATTGCATTGAACATAATTTGTCGACGACTTATGCTAACAGATAGATCTGGGGAAGGGATCAGAAAGTACGATATGGATTGTAAAACAGTACAGGTGGTCTATTGTATCTAATCTTGTTGTCTCCTTTCAACTGCAACCACACTGCAGGGTCAAAAACGAGTGTCTCAAATGAAAGCTTCTGAAATGTATCCATTCGATGTCCGATGTTTTTTTTACTTTTCGCATTTGATCGAGCGCTTGCATGCTTTCCTACGTGGGTTCAAAGCCGTTGACTTGGGCTTATAAAAACACTATTTTTAGCATGAGGACCGTGCAGCGAAGACAGAATACAAATTGAATAATTCAAATATCAATTGAATGATATATTTTTATATGTGATAACATCAAAGGGGGTTAATTAAGGTTTGTTTTTACCTCCGGCAACCTAGCTCTACACCTAAAAATTTGTCATTGTTGAGCTTTTAAGAGGAAAACTAACAATTTTAAAATTGCTCCAAAAAACAGCTATGTTTCGCGTCGGTAATAACAAGATTTCTACTGAAATTTGGTGTTTATAAGCACGACTAAAATTTGCACTTACCCGAAATTTTGAAAGCGCGCGCGCGCTATTTGTAATTTGCACTCATGTTTTCAGCCGATCAGAAGCGCGTATTTTTTTTTAATGTATATCATTACATACCTCACCTCTCTTTCTGACAACAATTGCTTTTCTTCATGATGAACTGAAAGATTTAATTTGCGAAAAGGCGGCAAACTTTTCTCACCAGAGAACCACCTCAAGGGCAACTGCAGGTGGCAGCCCAGAGGGCGTTCATCAATCATAAAAAGTCGTTAAGTTTCCGAGACAGTATGGTCGGGTAGCTAATGAGAATACACTGTCTTGCCCACGGGCGCAACTTAGTAACCCGGCCACGGCTCGAACCCTTGCCTTTCAATGCAGAGTTAAATCAGGAGAAAAAACAGCCCATTGATACAACACAAAACAAGTAACTCTACTCATCATCATTATAAATATCAGCGTGACAGGGCGATCAGGATTCAGTATTGGCCACACGATATTGACCATACAAATAACCGCAGCCTAGAAGAGAAACGCGAAAAACTATGGCACGTTTCTCCTCGTTAATAAAACATTTGTCGAGGCAATTATTGACAAGCATAAGATGCTTGCTTACGTCAGGAAACCGCACGTCCGTGCTACGCTGTAATTTTCATATATTTCATTTTTTTATAGGGATAGTTTCCTTAACAAATGACGCTTTTGATACTTTCATTCCTATAAAATTATGTCTGTCAAGGTCAAGCGCTAGCTTCATGTGTGCTTTAAACCAGGTCAAACCTTTCCAAAACTCGAGCCTCATCCAAAATTAATTTTGCCGTGTATCTGTACATCTGTTGTCGCCTCTTCACCCGGCGAATTATATATGAGGTTATTTACTACTCTTTGAGATCATATCCGTGCGAACTAACACATTACGAGTGCAGGAAACTAAGACATTCTTCGCGAAATATACACTTAGAATAAATGTTTGGAAAGATCGGGAAAACCATGCATCTTTTAAATAAAAACTGCATCCGAAATATTTCCTCGGTCGATAGAGCATTTTTTTTATTTCCACTGAAACAGTTAGTTTATTAATAAATTTATTGTTGTGCTGGCAACATTTTCCGATTTTCGTTGTTCTCTTGAGAGTTCAATCAAACTGGAATATATTTTGCTAAGGATAAAGTCATGATAGCAGAACGCAAGGTGTAAAATCAATAAAAAAGCGAATTGATAAGATTATTTCCTCTGTATATTAAACTCAAAGTCAGAGAGTCCTAGCATATTACAATGAAGAAAATGCGCTTTTAAATCAACTTTTTTGAATGAGTAGGATTTTAAACACAATGACAAACCTTTGTGGGGGTGCTAGCCTTCTCATGAGGTACTGGTGTCGCCTAACCAATAGAAAAATTGCAATGAAGTTGTTTCTATGTCACTGATGCTACATGTTTTACAAGTACATGAAACATAAAATATATTATTGAGACACTTTGTTCTCTTTCCATTAAATCCGCTTAAATACTTCTCATACTGACACATGTAGCTCCCTGAGATAATAAAGGAAGTTCTACTTTCGGTAATTCCTGCCGCCTGGTGTGTTTAAAAACAATAATTCGTTAACTAAACATAACACAAGAACATAATTTTGTATAGTCTTACCTTATTTTTGCGAAGATCTCGATTATTTTTCTTCATAATGAACTGCCTTATTGTGAATTTGCCCGATATACGTTAACTGATACACACAAGAAGAACGTGCAAATTTGTCATGACGCTTCGAAGGTCCTAAGATTTGAAAACGTGCAAGACAGAAAAAACGAGTGCGTCACTCGAGAAGATTTTGCCGAAATTACTTTGCATGTGGAGATGAAATTTGAACCAAATACAGGAAGATCCATTACTGACAGTTAGCATTTATTGCTGTTATTTACATTGTGACAAAAGATGTACCTGCCGCCAGGAACGGTATTAAATTATATTGAGTTACATGTGCAAGTCTTTCAGGTATTGGCCCCGTTCACGAATAAGAAATTGTCTAAACTCCCTAACTCT